CTCAGGACCAGCAAGGCTTGGTGCTGGTGGTGCCCTACCAGAGCCTGGGTTCATCCTTCCTCCAGTCATATGTCTGACTCTGGTCCTGCAGAATGACAACTGTGGGACTGGGACATAGCAGAAGAGGTATGTGGAGTTGTGTGTACTTTGGTGATGCTGTGGTATGAAGGAAGATGTTTTGATTTTGTTTATCTGCTTGCTCAAGGATTAAACAGATGCAGGGTGGTGTGTGGATAATTTGTGCACAGAGCACACACAGCATTAACCAGCACAGTCTGAGCTGTAAGGATTGTGTTTCTTCTGGATTTGCCATGTGCCCCATCCACTCTCATGATGGGGACATATTCTGGATCATAGGTGACTGAAGGATATCATGTCCTTGCTAGAAGGACCTCTGGTACCTGCTGCAGGAGCAGGTGGCACTGAGACTTTCTGCAGGCACCATGTGGACTAGCAGAACCAACTGGGGAGCCTGCAGAGAACAGAAGTGGTCTGGGAACTTGCCTAGTGCATCTTATGGGCCAGGAGTTTCTCTTCACTGGTGAGATGTGAGCATGGGAAACCTGCTGAGATGCCCTCCAGGTACAAGCCCCTGTGCTGGGAGTGCAGGGCCTGACTTCCCCATGCCACTCTGATGCAAAGACCAGGTCAGTGGTTGGATTTCATGTCTTGGAGTCCTGGCACTGAACTGGAGTAACTGTGGTGGTGGGTGGAGGTTCTGGGATAGTGCAGCAGGCTCCCCTTTGCTGGACCAGACCAGGAGCCTTTGCCTCTTCGTTCTATTGTCTACTTGCTGTGCAGGTGGCTGATGGCATGGACCTGGCCATGCTGTTCCCCAGGGGCCGTGGGTTCCTACATCCTCCATTGTTTCTTTGTTTGCTTTTATAAATGCTATTTGGGAATAAATTCTAGTGGGTCTTTTCTACATCAGCTCTGGCTGCTGTGTTTTAATCATCCTGGGTCTGCTGAGTGGTGCTGCCAAAATGCCGTGTTTCCAAGCAGAGGCACCAAACATAACTAAATAAACAGGTTTGTGCTCCATCAGCCTCGCATAATAAACCTTTAATTAAAGTAACTTACAGAAGGGTATTACCCATGACAGAGTGGTATTCTGAGTATCTTGGTTTGTGGCAGGGTCAGCTGTGGTGTCTTAAGCTACCCCTTCACTTCAGCTGTGTGGGCACAAGGTAACAGCAGAAGCACAGACATAGTGCAAAGGATGTAGGATTCCTCTTTTCCACCCCAGCAGCCTGTAAGCCAAAAGGACCAGACACAGTGAAGTGATTTCCCTTCCCCAGTTGCAGTTTGCTTCATGCTGACTCACACGTGGCCAGTAGTTACTGTTAAGATGCAGTGCTCTCAAGGACACCTCAGAAAGTCTGAGGAAGTTATTCACAATGCCAGGACCACCAGGTCTGCTGCCTGCAAACCCAACTCATAGAGCAGTGCTGAAACTCAGTTCTCTGAGCTCCTCTCGGTGTTAGGTAGGAAGTGATACGGAGAATTCACCAGGTACTGCCAACAACGGTTTCTCGCTGACAAGCAGGTACTTTATTGCGGCCCCTATCATGCCTCCCTGAACTGCTAAACAAGCCCTCCTTCCATGGTCACTAATCATACATATTCATTACGTACAGACATGCATATTCATGAGGCGGCGTATGTATTACATCATTCTTCCAGACAGTTTCCCTGTATGCATACAAAAATGAGGTGGTGTCTGTGGGTCGTTTACTTCTTTCAACAGTCTTCATCACTTTTGGGAGCCTTTGAAGCCCGTGCAATAGATAATGCATACACCAGCTTAGTTGGTTCATTAACACTGCAGACATAGCAATTATCCTGTCCTTCTACTTATCAGTTAGTTTAGCTGCAGCCCATCCTGGGCATCTGCTACTTTCAGATAGTCTTTGTCTTCGTGTCCTGTTTTTCTATCCTGTTTTCTTACACTTACTTTGTACTAAGGTCATAAGGACCTAAAACTATGCCAACTACAATGGCTTATCTTATACAAGGATTCTCATTATGTGCTCTAACTGCACTCTGTATATACTTTTTCTTCTGTGAAACATGTACCTCCATCATTTTCCATTACTACTGTTCCAAAGCCATCAAACTTCACATTGCTTGGAACTGATTCTACTTACTTACAGAGGTTTGTATTTAATTTTGTGCCTCCGTGTCTCAGAAGACCTTTCATTCCAAAGTCCAGTTTCTTGAAGTGAATCAGATTTCAGATTTACAGCTGCGAAACCTGTTGGCACTTGCACATGGCCAAAGTGCTGTGTTCCTCCTTGGAAAGAACTGATTGCAGCCCTTGGAGGCTGCCAGCAATTACGTGGGTGGTTCAGACTCCTGAGTCTTCCCATGTCCCAGACAATGCTGGAGGGCATTGCTGGAGGCAGCCTTGATCTGGCCAGGAGGCTGGACTTGGTGGGACTTGAGAGGACTAGTTTGGCCGTGCTTTTGCTTTCAGATGGCTGTGCATCAGCAAACCATCAGAGATGCTTCTGACTTCTCATTGTGTCTGGCTCCCTGATATTGCAGAAACCATGTCCTCTCCCCACACCTCACAGCCTGGCTCACCTGCTCTGCTGGTGACTCCCGCAGCCTCACTTGTCATTATTTGCAGCAAGGGAAATGTCTGGAGAAGCTCCAGGGATGTTGTAATTCCTAGGTTTCAGACTTGCCCCTTTCTCTGTCTGCTAATGAGCAGAAGAGGATTTCCAAATGCAAAATTTCAAACACAGAAACAGCTTTCCAGGACAGAGAAAAAAAGCCTTGAGATGAGCAGTGGCTGGGATGAGTCACAAATTGACTGGGACTATTCTTGGTTTTCTTTTGGGGACCCTTGGCAAAAGGACAAGCAAGGGGGACTGGATGGTATCCTGACAGTTTGGGGACCGTATTACGTTAGGGAATCTCAGGTCTGTTCCCTGCCTCTTCCCCCCAAGATGTGAAAACTGATGGGGGAAGGTGGGAGTGCCAGGCTGGTGGTATGGGTATGTATCTAGGGAACTGCATCCTGACCTTAGGGGCTCAATTCTTCCTGTCTGGAGTCACAAACCCTCTCTTGACTGCTGCAGGCATGGTGCCTGAAATGGACCATCAAGCCCAAGTACCCTCTACCCCACATGCCTGTATCAGCATAGGAAGCATTTTCCTGCCTCGAAGTGGTTTGCCAACCCATGAATTACTGCACCAGTTTAGGGGATGCATGAGAATTTCACTCTGCAGCCAAGCACCTAGTACTGGTGATGGTTTGTGTCATGGTTTAAACCCAGCCAGACAGCTTGTGCACTCACTCCCAGTGAGTGGTGCCGGGCTGGAAGCAGTCGAGGCCTGTGTCCCCCCTGGGGACTTCCCCTTCCTCGCTCCCGGAGGGAATGCAACTCCCACGGGTTGAGATAAGAACATCCAGCAACCAATGTACAACACAAATCACCACCACTACCACCAACGACAACAATGGTAAGAGAAAATAACAAGGGAACAGAATATGATACCACCTGCTGAAAAACGAGTCTGACCCAGCAGACCCCGTGTCCTTCCGTGTAACTCCCAGTTACATCCTGAGCATGACGTGCTGTGGTATGGAACACCTCTTTGGTCAGTTTGGGTCAGGTGTCCTGTCTCTGCTTCCTCCTGGCTTCTCTTCCTCCCTGGCAGAGCATGAAGCTCACAAAGTCCTTGTCCAAACCAAAACATCATTGTTATCAGTGCTGTTCCCAGCTGAAAGTCAAAACACAGCGCTGCACCAGCTACCAAGAAGGAGAAAAATGACTGCTACTGCTGAACCCGGGACAGTTTGTCATACCTGAATATTTCCTCCATGGAGTTGGGTGGTGGTCTGGGAATATCAACAGATGGGTTTGTGTGAACTGATTTTGGTGTTCTCTTAATCCCTGTAGCATCGGTGTTCTTCACAGATGAAATTTAAATGCTGAAGGTTTCTGTGTAGTAGGAGGAGAAGGTAGAGGGGAGCAGAGAAAGGGTATTCAGCACTTTTAGCTAAGTTAAAATTGACTGTCAGCACCAGCTCTTCCATCTCTGCAGAGGAGTCTGTGATTCTGCAGAACTGGCACCTTGGGCATCTCTGAGGCAGCAACATCAGTGGCTGATTGGGTGAGGCACAGCTGGATGCTTGAGACCTTGCTGCTGCTCCTGCTTAGGATGCGTCAAACTGAGTAAGAGAAAAACAAAACACAGCTCCTGGAGAAGTAAGCAGGGACAGAGCCTAGTGAATAGGCCTCAGATTTATTTCTTAGCACATCGTTGACTGGCTCTGGTGTGCTGGATGTGTGCCCTCTTTGCTTTTCTCAGCCACAAAGCTTGGATTCAGTATTGTAGGGCTGTAGCTGCCATTGCTACGCACATACGCAATAACTGTGTGATAAACCTGGGTCCATTAGGAACATACACAAATAAATACTCTGCTTCCACTGACTCTGGTCTGTCCCTGTAGTAAGGAGATAGCACCAAGCTCTCCTCCCCTATGGGGGAGTCCAGGAAGAAGAGCCCCTTTAACCAGTTCTGCTAACAGTCAAGTACAACATCACAGTAACTGTGTACTGCCTCCATCTGCCAGCGGATAGCCCATCTTCAAATGCCACTGGAAACAAGATGAAATGGAAGATACTGGCACCTCCTGGCAATTTACATTATGTTCACTTGTGCAAGGCTTGACTTGGGACTACTGTAGTGTCCTGGTACCAAAAATATTGCTGGACAGACCGTTCTGTATCCAATTCTTGGTCCACAGTGGCTAAAGAATGAGATCTAGAAATGTGCCCTGGAGGATTGGCTGCAGCTGTGTCATGGTGGGAAGTGCTGGGCAACACTCCTGTGGTTCCAGTGCTGAGGTCCTGAAGCACAGATTTGTGAGGCAGTAGGGAGAGAAGGAGGCAGGTGTCAGTGCTGACAGCCCTGTTCTTTCCATGCTGGTTTACGTCATAGCTCTGTCACAGTCTGCAGGGAGAGAGCAGGGGGCTGTTGGGTATTCAGTGCCTTTCATATGGCTCTTGGGTCCAACAGAAAAACAGGCTGCAAGAGCACTGGAAGCTTCATATATGTGGAAAGACTGAAAATTAGCAGTAATCACCGTTTCAAGTGATAATATCTGAAAGCTTTACTGAGACATATAGCCTCACCATCACTTTAAATCAAGGCAATGCACTCTTCAGAAAAAGATGCTCAGGCTCAGTCAGCATTTGTGGGGCTGCTGGAGATAGTCCAGGGTGAGAGTTTTATGCTTACAGGAGCTCAAACCAGCACCAGTCTCTTGTGGTCTCTAAAAGTCTGCTCTAGTCTGGAGACACAACCTGTAATATCAATCCTGGTCCAATTTTGCCCTCAAAGAACATTGTTTTGTGCCTACTCTAGGCTGTTAAATGGCACCTGATGGTGGTAGTCAGACATTCTCTTGCCATATTAAACTGGCCTGAATTTCATTTCTGTTCGCTTATGGGAGTAGTGGTATTCTTTGCCTGTCTTCCAGTTAATGCCATCAGCATAGCTCCCGTGAACACCCAACCAGTACATCCCATTCAGGTTAGAGTAATGGCAGTCGTTGTACCACCATGCTCCCTTGTATTCTGTCGCACAGTTAAAGGAGCTCATGTCATTGTCCTCATCTGTGGTTGAAAATGGCATGTCCTTGTGGTATGATAAGGAGTCTCCTGCAGAGAGCACACATTCAGTTACTTCAATAGAGAGTACAAAACCTGACACGTCTGAGTACCACTGCAGGGCATCAGTGGGCCTTGCTGGATGTAAGGCTGATTTTATAAACCCTGCTGTTCTCTTGGTTGCCCAGGTTTCCTTCTTGGTCCTGGGGAAACAGACCATCCTGAGCTCTTCCAGGTCTGCTAAAGCACAGAGAACATATCTATGCTTCTGAATCAGGACCAGGTTCTCCTCACGGTTACCCAGGAATCACTTCTCTTGTGCTCAGCTCACTTCTGTTCAGATTCTCTGCAGACATACTGAGGTCTGGACTATCAGATGGAGTTGCAGTGTACAAAGCCATATAGACCCAGGACACTGCTACCTCATGTGTTGGTTTCACTCATTTCTGAATGAGGGGTATTGAATTTTGGCAAGGATTTGTTTGGTTTTTAAAGCAATGCAGACCATCAGGCATGAAGAGGATGCAGTGCTGATGCACTGGGATGCTAACAGCACCCCAGCCCTGGAAATGCAAACCTTGTGTGCAAATATTTCCTGTCAATATAACTGTAAGGAGAACTTGGCCCCGCTGTTGGCAGAGCTGTTGGGAAGGTTACGTTGGATGAGGTGCTGCTCAGGATCAGGCTCCACATTTGCTGCTAAACCATGCGGCTGGGCCTGTGGGTCCCACTCCTGTGGGTGAGGGGGGTCCCTGTCCTTCCCTCACACAAAGGTCACTCAGCACCTGAGGTACCGTGGCCAATTTTAAAGATCAACCCAAAATGTATATGGTACAAGGAGTTTATATAATACAGCTCTCCACCATAAATGCTGAACACTTCTGAAATGATCTAGAAAATAGCGTTTCCCAGTGCGCTGCTGCTGACTTACCAGCGTTTCCACCAAGGAAGTCTCCTAGAACCAGTTTATATTTCTCAGACTCTCCCAAAACTCTGAATGAAGAGTATTTGGCAAAATAGTAGTTGTTTTCAAAGTCTCTCAGGTCAATGCGCAGTTCAGAGAGTCCTAGAAGAGAAGATGGACAGCAGTGGTGCAAGGCTGATTGGTGACCACACACCTGGGTTTCAGGGTGAAGGGTTTAAGAAGCTCTGAGCTAACAAGCAAGTTGTATCTCTCTACAAGTACCTGACAGGAGGATGGAGCCAGGAGGTGGCTGGTCTCTGCTCCCAGTAAAAAGTGATAGGACAAGAGGAAATGGCCTCAAGCTGTGCCAGGGGAGGTTTAGAGTGGATATTAGGGAAAACTTCTTCCCTGAAAGGGTGCTCAGGCATTGGAACAGGCTGTCCAGGGCAGTGGTGGAGTCACTGTCCTTGGAAGTGTCCACACACCGTGTAGACAAGGCCCTCAGTGATGTGGGTTAGTAGTGGCCTTGGCAGTGCTGTGGAATAGTTGGACTTGGTGATCTTAACGGTCCTTTCCAACCCAGCTGATTCTGTGATTCTACGAACTTAACTGGAGCTTCTACTACTGTCTCTCAAGATCATGATTTATTTGGAATTCCTGCAGAAGCATTGATGGATTTCTTATGAAGCACCTTTTCCGTTCTGATGTTGGGTGGTCATGGGCAAAGAGAGCTACACACACAGAGCTCCTGTACACAGCTGTGACTCCAAGGCTGTGTGTGAACAAGATCACTGCCATCACAACCAGTCCTAGGAGGAAGATGGGAAGATGTTTTGGCCTGTCTCTGGGATAGGTCATGCAACCAGCTTGTTCTCTTCCCTGGCTTCTAGTTTTGCTTTTTTTCACAATGCAATTTCCTGTGTGCTATGGGCTGCAAGGGCCTGTATGCTGTTTAGGATTAACGGTTGGGACTTCAGATGCAGGACGTTCAGAGTCCTTTAATGACCGAGTGTGCTCCAGGGGGTTGAACTGTGAGGGCCCCAGTCCAGGACAGAGACAGACCTTACCCAATGAGGTGAGGAAGTGGATGTTGTCATTCCCCAGCCAGAACTCCGTCAGCTGGTTGCCAAAGCCTCGTTTGTATGAATCCCAATCTCGCAAGAAGTTCACTGACCCATCCCACCGCCTCTGGAAAACCTGCAGGAGAGGAGAACCACCGGCCTGCCACCCACACCCAAAAGCATCCTGAGCGCCCAGATGGCCCAGCAAATGCTCCACCTGTGTCAGGACACTCTCGCAGGTGTCTGCGGACCAAACTCCAGAGGAGTCTGTCATTCACAGACCTCCTCCATCTGCCCTTTGAAATGAGGAGGAAATGGTTTTCTGATTTAAGCAGGGCATGGGTCTGTTGTACTCAGCCTGTTCCCAGAGATATCTCCCAGGAGAATCCCCCTCCATACTCACCCAGGCTTGCCGACATGAGCCTTGGCTGTCCCCTCAGTGTGTGCTTTTCTCCCTTTTTGTTTCTATTTCTGTGCCATCCTTTGCAGCCTTAATAAAAACCTTTGTAGGAACTTAGAATCCTCCCTCTCCTCATCTACTCACAATCCACCCTCCGCCATCGGTGTCCATGTCGCAGAAGACAGTGGTGGCATTGCAGCCTTGGGGATAGATGGTGTACCAGCCACTCAGGAACTTGCCTCTGCCCAACAGCTCTAGGCAGTTCCTGGCTTCTGTTCAAATCAGGGAAAGAGATCGAGTGAAAGAATTACAACGTGCTCACTGCATCCAGGGAGCACATCAACCTCATGCCCTAAGCCTGAGGCTTTGAGCCCTTCAGCCTCCCAGCTGGCTCTTTGCACTGCAGGACTCTGGAACATGAGTACTGGGAGCCAAACCCCATTGCAGCTTCTGAGTCCATATGTCATAGCAGAGATGGGCACATTCTAAGAGATGGCCTAAGCTGCTCAGACTCCTCTCATCTGCAGTGACTCTTTTGGAGGTGTGAGTGATGGAGCTGCTCTGAGCAGGATGGCAAACTCATGTTCCAAGTATTTGCTCAGGCTCAGGAATGTGTGTGTGGGGGTGTACAGGGAATATTTGGGTAGCAGCAAAGGAGGGGTGACACAGAAAAACACCTACCTGAAACAGAAAACTGTTCAGGTTGGACAGATGTCACTTTTGACCATATTCATATATATTATGTATACATTTATGCTTCCTCCCAAAAACCACACCTGATGATAGAAACTCACATTCACAGCTGTGAAAGGATTGACTGGAATGGGCCTTTTAGAACATCCGAGCTTCCAGTTGCCTCTGTGGCTTTCACAGGGGTAAGCCTTTGGAGATGACCTGAGACGGTGGTGCTGGTGGAGTGGGGGTCTGAGTGTGCTGTTTGACGAGTGAATGCAGAGCTCTACCAGGCCGTTTTGTGAGCATGGGTGTCCTTCCTAAGGGAGGGATGGTGCTGGACTTGGCCTGGTCCTTAGTAGTGAAATGTTTTTACATGCCCAGTAAACATAGAGAGTTTGGGGCAGGAAGGGGCCAGTTCACTGGCATCTGGTGTTACAACAGCTCTGATGTGCCCAAGTGTGTCGCTGCACGTGACAGTGGCCCTATGGCATCCAAGTATAGCCAAAGTGTGTTGTAGTTCTGCTTTGGCTTTAGCTCATGGAGACAGATGGGTCAACTGAAGCTTGTTTGTTTTCTTTCTTTCTTTTCCCAATGGGTAAGTTAATCTGAGCACTATCACACATGTGAACGCTGCATCTGCTGTACCTGCCACTCCAAGCATGGTGATACAACTACCTTTGAAGTGGCAGCATGTCTGTAGAGCTGTTTCTAGTGGTTTCATCTTGGAAACCAGGATACAGAGGCTCTCAAAACCTGACAGATGTCTAAGACACATAGAAGGCAGGTGACTCAGGTAGTGCTCAGAGGACAGGACTTTTCTGCCCTGGCTGGTTTAGAGTAGACACACAGAAGCTGCATATGGCTGTCAGAAGCAAATGGATTAGCAGTGATATTTCCTTACTCTGTCCTTCAGTGTCCCTATCACTGCACTATCCTGACTCCTGGTGCAGGGATTCCACCACTATCTGCTCTGGAAAGCCCAGTGTCATGAAGTACCTTAGAATGAAACTTACCCCAGGTTTCTGGAAATCCAGGTTCTCCTTTCATTCCTGTTGGACACACAACACCAGTCAGCTGCTGTTCACCTTCCACATCCTGCTCTCCCCTCCTCCAGCATGTGACATCATTTACTTTTCAATGTGAGCTGTGATGTTATGAGAAGGGTTTAGCTCATCTGTGCACACAAGAGGCACAGAGAAACCAGGCAGGATGAGTAACCCAATAAAAGTTCTGCCCCAGCTGCTTCTGTGCCCACCAGAGGAGACCCACCAGCCCATTGGCACAGACCCAGGAGAGCACAGAGGGATAATGGCAAGTGGGAACCTAAGTCACAGATTCCTATTATTACAGCAGTGATACCCAGTCCCCTCAGTCACTGGGAGCAATGCTCCAGGTCATCCAACAGGCACACAGGGTGGACACCAGGAGGCTGCAACACATTATAGACCCACAGGGAGCAGCAGCCTTGTCTCTTGAACTGTTGGACTCAGCATGATGTATTTTGTCCTGACATCTGATCTGGGGCTGGGAGGTCCAAATGGCAAGACTGACACAAGATGTGTCTCTGTTGGACCTACTTGCTCTGCCTGCTGCTGGCCAGCCCATGGAGCTGGGTATCAACACGTCATGCCAGTGAGTCCCATTGGGCTGCAACAGGAGCAGATGGGTGTGGAAGGAGGAAACACACATGTGGGAAGGCAGGGTCAAAGCCCCAAGATAGGAATGTTTGCTGATGGCAGAGTCAATGGCTTGGGAGCAGCTGAGACAGCTGTGCTGAACAGGCCACCAGATCAGCAGTGCTTGGTCCACAGCTATTACAAGCCAAACTTGTAGGGCAGCCTCAGTGCAGCCAGTGCTCAGTGACGAGTGCCAGTGACCCTCGCATGTGGGATGGTGGCATTAGGAAAAAAACTTGTTTCCTCTCTACCCTTTTGCTAGTGCTGGTAGAAAGACACGTTCCCCTGGCACTGACAGCCACTGAGTTTCCTCTGAGCCTCTGCCTTTTGCCATAGCACAGGAAGGTCAGAGGTCTGTGCAAATGTGGCTGGTCCCTCAGGCTGGAGTATAGGAAGCCCTGTGGTTTCTGCAGGTGATGGTGCTGTTCAGCAGCATGGGGAACTGAGGGCAGCCAGCCCCTGTTGCTGAAGAGCTGGTTTGGGAGAGTTGCTGCTTACACCATCTGGTCCAGGGCTGAGCCTACATTGAGGCACAACTGCCACCAAAGAGCTCCCCAGGTGGGGGGCTTTATTTCCCCGTAGTGTCTCCACCTGGTGTGTTGTTCCTGAACATCACACAGTAGTGTTTTAACTAAACCAGCTCACATAATAAATTCAGCACAGCATAATTTACCTGGGAAGCCAGGCTCTCCAGCTGAACCTGCAAGACACAGGATGAAAATGTTCATCACAGATAGTTCAAAGCAAGTGGATTACTGTGACCCCCCAAGTATCTGCTCCACCCCCTATGTATGTCCCAAATGTACAGGTGAGGGCTCTCAAGTGGTGCGAAGCCATGGTGCTCTCCTGTGCACCAGTGCTCAGCTGGTGCTGCCACCCATCCTGTCTGCTCTCTTGACCATCAGCATCTTTCAGAAGAGCTCAGGAGGAGCAGCACAGAGGGAGAGGGAAATGCTTCTCCGTCTCCTGGAGTGTATCGGGGATTCTCAGCTGCATCTCAGTGACTTTGTGTGGGAACGTCCCATTTTCAGTCGGGCACCTGTGAAACCTGGGGCAATAGCTGCTTTTCCAGTGGGTTCATTCATCTCCTGCTGGAGTTTCAGCTGAAGCCTTTAGTGCTTGTGGCCAGGAAATAGCTACATAGTCAGCATGCAAAAAGGGCTGTTTTCCCAGCTAGTCAGAGCATCTGTGCTCAGTTCCTGGGTGCCACCTTCTTCTAGGAACTGGTTCCTATAGAAGAGACAATTTTCCAATGTCTGCAGCACAGATCCTGCTGAAGACCTCGAGTACAGCCTGGATGGAGTGGAAGCTGATTTCTCAGCACACATTGTCCTCTTTTCAGAGGCTCATATTATTGCAAAGAACCCCCATTCCATCCTTGCTTAACCCTGTGCCAGCTGTTTCCTAGAGCTTTGATCCCATCCTCCTGGTCAAGTGAGTGACAAATGCATTGCACACCAAGACCAGGCCTGGAGTCTGCTGGAAACACTTGGGATTGTGTCCCTTCATCAGGCATCCTGGAGGAAGCATGGCAAAGCTCTTCAAAGAGGGGAGGCTTTTGGGCAGGTTTGCTGTGTAGAGGCAGGTAGGGTGGGAATGAGGAGAGGTCTGGTTTTAGGGTGGTCAGGGTCAGTGGGGAACTTTGATAAGAAGAGTAATGTCTTCCTCTGCAATATGGCCCCACTCAAGGAAACTCTTCCTACTACTCACCCCATGCAAGATCCATACCCCCAAATTCTGCTTTACTTAACACTACTTCAGGGCTCTTGGACTATGACCAGCACTACAGTTCATCCCTATAGACTCTGTGTCCCAGTATGTTCTGACCTTGGGTAGATCTACGGATTAGACCTGAATACATTGCACATTACCTTTTACACCAGGTGGTCCCGCTTTCCCAGGGAGTCCCTGGGCTCCCTTTTCTCCTGCAAGGAAAGACTCAGTTTGTACATGCACATAGCAAACTGACCAGAGGGGAGGGGATACAGAAGCCCAGGCATCTGGGCCTTGTCTTTCCCAGGAACAAGGAAGCTCAGTTTTGTTAATTAGATTCAATCCTGCAACGTATCTTACTCCTTTTCTTCTGCTGAAGCTACACTACACTGGTACTGCCACTGCAAATCCTAATTCGCGGTTCACGTAGGATTCCTACAACCCTTGTGCATCCTGGAGCCAGACCATGGATTTTGCTGCCGTGGATCTCTTCCCTGTGCTAATGTGATTCACCTTCTCCATGAGTTGGCTATGAAACCCCTAAGGACTCCCATCTCCCTTGCTTCCTTGGGTATGGGGTGCCTGCACAGCTCCCCTGCTGTTCCTCTAAACATGCAGGAGTGTCACAGCTTCCCTCCCAACCACCAGTTCAATAAAGACTCAATAAAGATGTTTTCACTGTAGAAGAAACAAATGAGTTGAGTTACAGCACTTCACACCCCAGGACCAGTTCAGACTTGTGACAGGACTGAGGGGAAAAAGGGGACTCCATGCGTACCAGTGCATCTCTAGACATAGTGTTTCCACTCTTGGAACTCCAGTTGCAGAAGCCGGTGCCAGGACAGCCACTGCTCCAGCATTAGCTTCCCCTACCCAAAGTAACGAAGCTACTTCATCTCAGAGTGTTCACTGCTGGCTTTTGGGGTCTCACCTTTTGTTCCTGGGAGACCTGGTTCTCCTTTTGGACCAGAGGCACCTGGGTTCCCTGGGCATCCTTGGAGAATGGCAAGCTGGTCAGCATCACCGAGTCCCACTATTCTCACCTCTGAGGAAATTAAGACAGTCTTTGTGGAGATTATTAGGGCTCTGAAATGTTTTGGAGAGGAAACTGAACCCTCTGGAGTTGAGAAACAGTGCAAGCAAAAGAAATGAGGGTGGGAGTTTGGAGGTGTGTGGATCAGCTGATGGCATTGAGAGCTCACATATTAGAGGATCTACACAATGAACCTCTGGCTTCAGGGGAGTTCAGTAGGAGAGGAGGCTGTTATATATGACATTACATGCATGACAAATACACTGTAGCTTAATAAGATAACCCTGAGAGGTGCCCTGAGGGAGTATGGACAGCAGAGTAAGTGACACTGATGGATCTGTGGACAGTAAAGGTTCTACTAAATTTCCTGACAGCAGGTCAGTTGGAAATCACCCTTATTGCCTTCCCAAGGAATATAGGCAAAAAGCTTTGTGCAGCATCCGCAAGCTGCCAGGGTTCCTGGCACCCAGCAAGCACTTGACCAATCCTCTGTATTGCACTGCATCCTTTAGTAACTGGGCCAAGGTGCCATGAACAAAATCCCCTTCACCAGGATGGAAAAACCTCAACTGGGATAGCCTGTTCCTGGAGATGGCACTGGTAAGTTGAGGAGGATGCCACATCTTTGGTTGGAACTAGCAGCTTTGTAAAGTGGCTTCTGAGATGTCAGCCCCCTCCCTTACCCTCCTCCCACTTACAGCTGAATTAAGAAAAGCACAGAAGGAAAATAATCACATCCCTCCACCCTTACCCAATCTCCTTGTATTATGGGGAAGTCGAAGCAGGCTATCTCAGTGGGATTGCAGTAGGGTTTGTGCCTCACTCACCTGGGCAGGTGTCCTGAGCATCACAAATAGTTGCTATTAGACTGAGCAGTGCCAGGAGGATTTGGGCTGCCCGTCCCATGGCAGGCTCTGCTCTCTGCACAGCTCCTCTCATCCACATTCCAAGCACTGTGGTTAGCATTGATCCACCGAAGCCTTTTATATCTAACAAAAAACCCCAGTGTAAGCTCCAGCTCTGCGCTTGCCCACTGCCTGCTCTCAGCTCTGGGACTTTAGCTGGGTCTCAAGGTATTTCCCCAAAGTAAGCCACTTCTCACAAGTCTGATGGGAAAGTACTTGTCCTGCTGCCCAGCCTGCCTCGCCTCTGTCCTCTGCAAATTTTGGATGCTTTTCCCTCCCATATTTTATTTCTAAAGGAAATGAACCAGCAAAATCATAAGTTTAGCTAAGTGCAGGCAGTTCCCCCATCCTGCCTGCTACGAATGACTCTTTACAAAGAGCATAGCTTAGTGTGTAGATGGGGAAACCAAGGCACTGAGAGCCAAAAAGCGCAAGGTCAGCTGAGACCACTGGCTTGTCTGTCATCCTAGCATCACTTTGCAGTCCTTCAAACAGAGGTTTCAATTTATACATGATCCATGACTGATACAGAGTTAAAACACTGTGTATCCAGGCAAGGTTAGGTGGGCAGAACCCCCCTAATTTTTCCTTTTCCCTCCTGTTTTTCTCCAGTCCCTGTTCAATGTAACAGTGATGAGGATTTTGGTTTTGCTTTGCTCTATGCCTTGTGCTCTGCTCACTTGTGTTAGGTCCAGACTGCCCCAGTTTGACCCCCATGTTACCCTCACACACAGAGCCTGTAAAGTATATGAATTTTAGAAGAGGGCAGAATTAACATTTCCGTCCTCCTTATTGTTGCAAGCTAGTTCAGAGACATGGACTCATGTCTGCCCTGTGGAATGGGTGGAGAGGAAGAAGAGCCAGCCCCTAGCATGAGAAGCCTTCTGCCCAGTGCCTTATATCCTGTGCTCTGTGCCCGAAAAAGGCTGCAATACCTTGTTTTAACTCTGTGGAGGCAAAAGCTGCTGTCCTCAGCTGTTTCACTTGAGCTGTCACTCCAAAAAGCAATGGCCTTATGGATTACCACATTGTCATAGTTGCTAGATCTTTCCTGCCAAAACCAGTGTTAAGAATGGCTTTGCTCTGCTCTTTCTGATGCTCTTTTAGCTGGGTGGCCAGGGCTGGGTTGGGCTGAGAACGCATGTTTAGGCAGATGTCATATATCTGCTCATCCTGATGCATCCAGTTAGGTGTTACCAGCTGTGGTTCCATCCAGCCTGAGGGATACCTGGAGATATCCCCCTGCTTCCATCTGAGGAAAGCAGCAGTGTCCTTGTGGATGCAGGGAGCAGGGGGAGAACCTACCAGTAAACAAGCTTAGTCCAAAGTAGGTCAGGCCCCTGAGGGCAGATTCTGAAACTGGCCCAGTGATCAATATGTCCTTATTTGTTTTCCCTCATCCCATGACCCAGAGAGGATTGCAGAGGGCTGATCGCTTACACCATCAGCAATTCTTTCTTCTCCCTCGAGCCCGGGGAAATGTCCCCTGTGAGTCTTGCAAGCCCAGGATCACTGGCGATGAGAAAACAAGGATTTTCAGCACACTGGGTTTATGGGGAGCAGCTCTGAATGCAAAATGCTCTGTGTAATCCTAGCTGCTGGTGGTGTCCTGGGGCTTTGCTGCCACCAGGAGGTTAGAGCTGCGCAGGGAGGATGGGGAAAGCTGCAAAAGCTGCGAGTACCTAAAGCAAGAAGCAAGCCCGGTCATTGCATTCCTCTGCTCTGTGCTGACTTAAGGACGTTGCTATACAACTCCTAAAGCTACAAGAAGGGCAGACCGTTGGCACGGGGGATCTGGGAGTTAAACTCTGACAGATCTGACTATAACCAGTATGAAGTGAAGATCTCTGGAGCTTTGCAGGGTCTGTGTTTTGCTAAGATACGGTGATCCTTTGTTTTTACTAGACTATTTAAGAATGAAAAGCATGATTGGGGATACCTAAGCTCAACATGACCCAGCAGTGTGAGCTTGCAGCCCAGAAAGCCAACCTTATCATGGGCTGCATGAAGAGCAGAATGACCAGCAGGTCAAGGGAGGTGATTCTTCCCCTCTACTCTGCTCTTGTGAGACCCCACCTGCAGTACTGCATCCAGCTTTGTGGCCCCCAACACAAGAAGGATGTTGAGCTGTGGGAGTGAGTCCAGAGGAGGCCACAAAGATGCTCAGAGGGCTGGAGCACCTCTCCTATGGAGACAGGCTGAGAGAGTTCGGGTTCAGCCTGCAGAAGATGCCAGGGGGACCTTTCAGCCTTCTGGTACCTAAAGGGGCCTACAAGAAAGCTGAAAGAGGAACTTCTGACAGGGGCATGTAGGGATAGGACAAGGAGGAATGTCTTTAAACTGAAAAAGTAAAGATTTAGATTCTATATTAGGAAGAAATTCTTTACTATGAGGGTGCTGAGGCACTGGCACAGGGTGCCCAGAGAAGCTGTGGCTGCTCCATCCCTGGCAGTGTTCAAGGCCAGGTTGGACACAGGGGCTTGGAGCAAGCTGCTCCAGTGGAAGGGGTCCCTGCCTGTGGCAGGGAGTTGGAAGTAAATGATCTTTAAGGTCCCTTCCAACCCAAACCATTCTGAAGTAAGAGCTTGCTCGAGGGTTGGCACTATTGAAGGTGCTGAAGGGGAGCTTCCATGTGGTTTGGAGACTTGCCTTGCTGAGAAAGGAGTAATGTCAACCTGCAAGGGTGGGTTATCACCCAAAGCAACAAGATAAGATGTTCTGGCTTTACCTTTTGTTGGCTGTGCTATTTATAACTCTTCACTATGTGGGAATAACTGAGTTTTCGGGGATTTTTTGGATGAACATTTGTATTTCCGAAGCAGACTTCAGTCCATAACCAGTCTTAGTGTCTGCAGTGGGGACATTTGCCCAAGCTAAGGCAGCAGTGTTTTCAAAAGATGTTTCTTGGTTTCCTTTTGCTGATTGTAGGTTTTGTGAACATACAGCACCTCTGAGTGCCTGAGCTCCTCAGTGCTGAGAGCCCTGCTGCACGTTTCCCTCATCCTTACTACAAAACCAGTTCAGATGAGCTCACCAAGCAGGGGAAACGTGGGGAAGCACACTCACCCTTGTGTTTCATGTGCTGTGTTGCTAAACAAGGTTTCATTCTCTGCAGCTTCAGTGGAAACTCCTGGCTGTAAGGAGGTCAGGCTGTGGGTTTCACTGGTCTTGACTGGTGCTCACAGACCCTTCCTGCTGGGCAGAGGAAAGCCAGTCTTTCCCATAGTTGGTGATGGGTGTAGCATGTCTCAATACTGGGCAGCCAGGCAGTGCAGTGATTTATGAACACAGAGCACTCACTTTGAACTTGCGTTTAGGGGCTTCTTCCCCACATTTCTACACACTGATTTGGGGGCACAGTGGTTTCCTGATCTCAATTAGGATAGGTCTCTATCAGTTATTGCACACCAGCTGCATGCCCTTGCTGAGCCTTTGGTTTGGCATTTGCTTGGTTTCCCCTAGGAGTTGGTGTGGGGGAGCCTTGCTTAACTCTCCTTATGGTGATACGCTGGGACAGCCAACCCAGAAAGGATTTCAATTAGTGGATTCTTTCCTACCAACCTCTCTATCAGCCTCTGTTTCAACAAGATATTCCCTGCTGCATCCCATTTTCCACTTATTTTATAATCCTCAGTAACAGCTCTTCTGGTCTGTGAAAGGCTTGCAGCCATTCATGAGAGAAGGGAAAAAAGGCAGAGGTGATTTATAGGGTAGGCAGAAGCTGCTCTGCACCCTCCCTGCTCAAATGAATCCTAAGGAGTACTTGAGCCCCTTGTCTTTGCTAATACTAATCTTCCTATGTACAGTGCACTGGAGACATACATGGGACTGGTTGCTCTGGCACAACTGGTTGGATGAGCCGTGTGCTCAGGGAAGGGGCAAAGTAGGCTTTTGCTGCAGAGGCATCTGGTGAGGGTATGCACACCAAAAGGGCAAGGACAGCAAGGGCTAAATGGCAGAAGAATTCCAACTATTTGCCTGTTATTAGACACAACTGGAAGTTATAACTGCATGAGGTGAATTATTTGGTTCTTGGGGAAGGTTTTGTGTATACTTCTGTTATGCTTATTCAGGCCTCAAATGTCCCATTTTTTAGTGGCTGCTGCATAACAGTGTTTTCTTCCTTCCTCTCCAGTGGGGTATTTTTATGCCACCTCACCCCCCAACACTGAGATCCAGTTGTCACTCCCAGTATTCAGTTCTGATTCCAGACCCACAGTGATGGCTGGAGACTTTCTGTGCAAATAGTAGATATAAATAGTTTTTCAGTGCTGCAAAATACAAATTCATCAGTAATCAGAAAATGCACTGGGAAATGAAGGAACTTCCATTAAGTAAGAAGTGGGTTTCCACTCAGTTATTGACTGTTCTGTGATGGTTTACCCTAGTGAACTGCTGTAAAGATGGACGGGAACATGCAAGTATTCATGTTGCAGCTCTGGGAAGCCTTATCCGTGTTCACTGTCCATGGCAGTCAAGATTCCTTGCAACCTCAGTAATAACTTGAATCAATCACGAGCTGCTGAATACAGACAGCATGTGGAACCTGTGATTTAATACTGTGAATGTTATCATGCCTGGGGAGCCTGAGAGCTCTGGGAGAGCCAGCCTGGAAGAGCATCCCATGGTCTCATGGAGGTGGGGACACCCATCACCACTGCAGTGCATTCAAGGCTGAACAGCTCTGGTGAAATTCTTCACATCCCACCAGAGAGGAAACATGATTTTGGAAACATGATGGTCTATTTACAAAACATCCCCCCCCCAGATTGCCATTTTGTAGGGAACTTCAGAACACAAAAGTTTCAAACAACAGATTATTGAAATTCAGCAAGCTTTTCCCAGGGATGATTCAAGATAGAAAAGAGATTTCAAAATATAGTAGCTTACACCTTCTTTGTCAAATCTAGCCACCCATCTCAAGATGGTGATCTCGAGATGGGTGCACTCCAGCTGCACTGTGGTATGAAAGATGTGGTCTGAAGGGTCCTGCGAGCATGGTTTTCTAACAGTGACATGCTATAAACCAAGACATACACACCTCCCCCAAACTAGAGACTCACCTCTCAGGCTCAGTCTCTCTGTGCTGGTATTCTCCCTCTCATACGTAAGGACTCTAAGTGGTAACCCCCAATTTTACCAGCAAGCCAGCTGTACATAGTCACGTCTTTTCTAAAGCAGCATTTTCTTCAGACTTTAGCATAGTCCCAGCTCACCCAAAGGCCTTGCAAACTGGGTCCATCAGGTCTTCAGTGAACGGCTTCTGCTTTGAGCTTAGGGTGCAAGTCCCTTGTTTGATGATCCCTGCGTGATTGATTGCTATCCCACTGCCAGCATACTTCAGTCTATTTTGCTTATTTTAGGCTGAGACAGCAGCTCAGAGACAATGACATCTACTTTGCCAGCTGAGACCAGGACTTCAGCTCTCTAGAACCACT